GTCTGTATGCCCCCTTCCCGGTTTTGTGTGAGCCGCCCTGAGTCCCCTCAGGGAAAAGGGCGGCCTACAAATACTAATAAAACCATAAAAAAAAAACCATAAACCATTTTGATACAGACAAGTAATTAAGTGCAGCAATCTTTTATCAAAAGGAAAGTAATTAAATGTTCTTTCACAATTTCTCTCTAGAAATAGAATCAAGAATAAAATTCAAATGAATGAACATGAAATACACATTTTTATGTGAAACTAGCATTTATTTCTTGGTTAAAGATTTAAGACAGTGATGTGGAATTGACTTTCCTGTTCAAGTCCCAGAGACATCAAATTTTTTGCTAAAGGAACTCACAAATCTGATAGGTTTCCAATTGATAGCAAGTAGAAGACCTATAATTGAGTCAATAACTTTCTCAGCCATTTTTTAATTACGAGTTGCTGTCTTCTGGATGAAGTGCAAGAACTTATTTGCTTTATTATTGTGTAAATAATGCTGCCAAAAGAGTTGTCCATAAGGATACATTGAGTTTTCAGGATCTTGGGCATAAAATGGTCTGTTTTCCTAGGTTTTGGAAGAAAAATCAAAGATCTCACATCAGAGTGGACTGTAAAATCCCAGGCTATGTGTTCATGCATTTTCAGTAATAATGGAAACAGTTGTGTAGGTCCATCAAAAATTGTAAAGAAATAAAAGTCCCAGACATTGCAAAGTGTAGTACAATATATTGAACTAAAAGAATTACCAGAATATTTCTCAAGAAGCAAGCAAAACCTACCCCTTCCTTTTGGTAGAGTGGATAAAGGGTAAAGTTTGGTAAAGGGACAGTTTTCAATTGTTAAAAATGGGATATTGAACAATTCAAACATGAGAACAATCCAAAAATTCAATGCAACTTATTTTATTAAGGATGCTACTTAGTAATGATCCTGTTGATAATTGGCTATACTGTCTGATATAGTGGAGAAGGATATGGAGGTCATCTCTGAAGACATGATGGATTTGTTCAGAGGTCAGAACTTGGACAGCGCAGCATCTCCGGTGCTTCTTAACACAAGTGGGACTCATCCAGCTGCTTTTTATATCACAGCTATTCTGTAACTTTTAATAAATCCTTTAGCTTACAGATAATATTTGAGCGATCTCATTGTTGCTGTTATCTTCTTGGCAGCCCAGAAGCTTCTTTGAATGTTCCCATTAATCCTATTTTTCTGCAGAATTCCTTTGTTTGCAACTTTTTCGACCTTGGTCATGATTATTCTGCCTATTGTAAATTTTATCTTTCATTTTTACTCCAAAATGCTTACATTCAATTTTAGTTGTAATCAATGATTATAGATGCAACAGAAATAATGATCAATAAGTATAATAAATACTGGTATATGTGTAGTTGCTAAGTGATACACATACACTGTTTAATATTATGTGGGTAAAACCAATATAATTTTTAAAGCAATAAAAAGCGTTTAGTGTATTTTCAGTTGGTAATATATTATAGATAATGAGGAATTTTTGTAATGGATTTATACCAGTATTAATAGCTTTTTGGCTTCACAGTACTCATTTTCAGAGCAGGACATCTGAATGGTATACACCTTTTTTATCTCCAACCACAGAGATAAAGCTATTATATATGTCTTACAGAGTAACGGAGTTGGAAGAGACCTTAGAGGTCTTCTAGTTCAACCTCCTGCTCAAGCAGGAGACCATATACCATTCCAGACAAATGGCTGTACAATTAACTTATTAAAACCTCCAAGGAAGGAGGCAAGCTGTTCCATTAGACAGTTCTAACTATCAGGAAATTTCTTCTTAGTTCTGATTTGGATCTCTCTTTGATAAGTTTTCATCCATTACTTCTTGCCCCGCCAGGTGCTTTGGAGAATAGGTTGACCCCCACCGCTCAGAGATTGGAAGATCGCCAATATGTCCCCTCTAGTCTTTCTCTTCAGATGTACTCAATTCTCACAACTGNCTTTACAGAGGAGAGGCAACCTGACTTCAAACTAAACATAAGAAGATCTGAATATGGTTAGCCTGCAGACCTCACCCAGCATCTGCTGGGATTCACTGCATCAATGGGGCATTGTATCCTCATCCCCTCTGTGGGTTCCTGTGTCCATATCATATCATGACCAACTATAAACTGAGGGCACATTACTGCTATTGTATCAGATTTATTCTTCTTCATATAAATGTTGCTGTGCCTTAATGGTTAGATGGCCTAGACATTACTACCTGAATATGGAATTTTTAAACGTTCATATTTTACATGGACTTTTTAATCTAGATAAAATGTCAATATAAAATGCAAGTCCATGGATGATATGCCATATGCTAACTATGCTAAATAAATAAATTGTTTGCAGAAGGGGCAGCCAAGGGGGACTGATGTCTGAAGGGGGTTGTAACATGGAAGAGGAAATGGCCTTATTCCATATTGCCCCAGAAAACAAGAGCATAAAAGGAGCAATGGGCCTTAACTACAACGAAGACGGTACAAGCTAAACCTCCAAAGGGCTTTCCACATAATTTGGATAAATGCTTGATCCGAATGAGAATTCATTTGCAATTTCCCACAGTGCAGATGATATCTTCACATGGAATTTTAACAGAAGATAGAGGTTATAAGGCAGATGCACTCCTGCGAATATTGTGGGTGCCTTGCCCATCTTTACAGAAAGCTAAGACAGAGTTCAAATATCGAAGTGCTCCAGGTAAGAAAAAGCTTCCCATTCTATTTTCAGGTGATGCTACTCGGAGATCACCTTCCTCAGCTAACGTCCTCGGTATGAGTTGGACAACAACTCCCACCATCTCTAAATACTTCAGAAGTATTGTCTTCAAACCAAGCTGAAAGACACTCCTGGGAGATGCAAAATTAATATTTTAAGCTGCCAAGAATTACCCTGTGGTAGGATGGACGGCCAATAAATTTAATAAATAAAATAAAATTTTCCATAGGAAAATACCATGTGGAAAACAAGTAAGTTACACAGTAGGTACATTTCCAATTTCCTTCAGTTCTGCAGACTGATTTCTCTTTACTCACCTGTTCTTTAGGATCCAATATCCTTTGCCCTCGCTGGTGTTGTTATAACCCACAATCAGCATTGCATGACTTATCTGTCTTTCTCCACCATGTTGTTCCTTATATATACCTGGATAGAGAGAAAAAGAAATAACCTAGTGAATAATTCATCCTTACTGCCATCCAGATGCCCCACCCTTTCTTAGCCTCTGATTTGAAGCCAGGAGAAAATATGACAATCTCTGGTTGGGATCTCAGTGGCATGAGTAAATAGAGATTTTTCTGGAACCTTAGTCAGCTCTTTTGTATTTCAAAGAATAGCCTTAACAATTTCTCCAACTGTCTGATGCACCCCAGAGAAACTATGGTGGCTTTATTAAATCAACCTGACAGTAAGAACAATCAATCAATGGAAAAACTTGCTTTCAAAGGTTGTGGCTGCTCCAACACTGGAAGCTTTTAAGAAGGGACTGGATAACCCTTTGTCAAAAATGGTCTCCTGCCTCAACAGGAGGTTCGGCTAGAAGACCTCCAAGGTTCCTTCCAACTCTATTATTCTGTTATTTTTTATTAATTCCACTCAAAAGCTGTAAGGGGACCAAAGGAATAAAAGGTGAACAGCGCTATATAGACACGTTGGGCACTGATGTTAAAGGAGACAGAATAACAGAATCACAAGGGACCTGGGAGAGCTTCTACTCCAACCATTGCTCAATCAAAACACCCAACAGCATATTGTTCAAACATCTCTCCAATCTCTTCTTGAAAAGCTCCAATGTTGCAGCACCCACAACTTCTGAAGCTGTTCCACTGATTAACTGTTCTCACTGTCAGAAAATTTGTCCTGCCTTCCAATGCTTTGGAGAATAGGCTGGCCCCTTCTTCTTTGTAGCAGCCCCTTAGATATTGGAAGACTGCTATCATGTCACCCCTAGTCCTTCTTTTCAATAGACACCCAATTCCTGCAACTGTTGTTCATATGTTTTAGCCTCCAGTCCCCTAATCATCTTTGTTGCTCTTCTCTGCCCCTTTTCCAGGCCATCCTGGGCTTACATTCAATTGCCAAAACCCCAAAACATTTGATCCTGGAGGGACCAAATGCTCCCAGCCCATCCCATTGTATCACACAAAAGATTCAGGAAACTACCCACAGACAAGGAATAGCAAAGGTCCAGGAGAAGCAAGATGATAGGCATTCTGTCACACAACCATTTTTCTTCTCCAGA